GGACGGCTGTCTTGGGTGTCCACAGTCCATGGGTTTGCTCACCCCTGAAGACAGCATGAATACAAGTTGGCCTGGCCAGGAGCCAGCGGCAGTGCAGACGGGATAAATCCCCAGCGTCAGAAGCATAAGCACTGCCTCTAGCTGGGGCCAGGGCCAGGCCTCGGGATGCACTCCCACCAAGAGATCTCTGGCCTGTCATGTCAATTCCAACTGTTAATAAGTAATGAAGACTTAACACTGGTGGGGCATTTGCTCCGTGCCAGGAGCTGTATTCTCCTGGCACTGCTGTGACTATCCTCAGTTTACAAATGAGGAAATCAAGCTCTCAGACTTGCCCATGGTCCCGAGGCTAATGGGTGGAGGAGCCAGAGCCGGCATCCGTCACCTCCTCACGGTGTGGCTCCCCCAGCTCCTCCCAGACTGACTGAATGAGAGGGAAATTTGTAGTGTAGGGAGAACCGGAGACAGCCCAAGGGGAGGTTTCCTTCTGCCACTCCCTACTGACCCAGTAGACAGGCACCCCAACAGGTTTGCCTCTTCCTTCCCTAATTCACATTGAAAGAAAAGCTGTGGGCCCTGCACGGCCCTGGTGAGAACCCCATCCCTGCCATGGCAGGGAGTGGGCTCTGGAGCTGGGCACCTGGGCTCCAACCCCGCTGTGTGGCCTTCACTCTGAGTTCACGTTCCTCAACTGGATGACAAGCTGAATACGCCCCCACCCTGACTCCCACCCCCGCCCCGGGCGGTGGTGGGGATTAAACGCTCCACGGAAGGACTCAATGGGTGAATGCGGCTGTCCCCGCTTGGTGCCTGTATCTTGCATCCCAGGATGGGCCAGGGCAGGGAGAAGCCAGCACGATCCGTATGCCTCTGCTTTGGGAGTTCGTTCACCTGGGGAGCTGCCCTACCTTCAGTCCTGCCCGTACCTGCTAAGCCCTGCTGCTGAGCAACTTTCCTCTCCCCAGTGTCCACCCCCGGCATGGCACGACGTGGGAGTCGGCCTTGCCTCGCCTTGGATCTGGACAAAGGGGCACGGTCGGAAACAAATCCTCTCTGAAATACCTGGGGGGATAATCAGAGGTACCCCTGGGCTTCTCTTTGTCTAACAGGACGGCTGCTGCCGCTTTCCTGGCTCTGGCTGCCCCGCGGGCGAGCGGCGGCCCTGGAACAGGTCCACCCGCCCCCTTGCTCCCCCCCCCCCCCCCCCCCCCCCCCCGCCCCGCCCGCCCCCACCGGCTCAGATCTTGGCGTCTTTATTGCTGTTTTGGCTCCAGGACTCGGATTGGCGGATCGGTGGGGGAAATTCCTCCCCGAGAACTTCGGCGCAGCCTGGTTGAGACCTGGCCTCCGGAGGGAGGCTGCGGTGGGTTTGGGAGCGACCTTGCCGGGCGAGTTGGGAATTTCCACTTAAAGGCTTCTCTGGGCTCCTGTTCCCACCCCACCCAAACATCAGATCTCCAGTGCGGGAAGCCGCCAGGTCGGACGGAGGCTGAATGCAGCCTCACTCCACCCTCTGGGACCTGTCGGCACAGCTCAGTGGGACTCGTGGAGTCCTGCTGTGCCGAGAACTCACCTGGTGGCACAGCAAATGGTAAATGCTCTTAAAACAGAGGAAAAGGAGGTGCGGGCCCCGCTGAAACCAAGGGCCGCAGAGAAGCCATCCCAAAGGGCTGGGGGAGGCACCTGGTCCCGAGCCAGCTCGCTCAAACTCTGGCCCCGAAAACATCTGGGCCAAGGGTCCCGTCCCCAACCTTCCCGGCGGCGGGAGAAGGGAGCGCACGCGGGGCTGGGGTCCCCGAGGGCGGCACGTACCTTCTTCCGAAGCCTCACTTGGCCCGTGATGATGGCCACCACGTACATCTTGATGACTAGCAGCGTGCTGCAGAGCAGGAAGGCCGGGAGCACCCGGCCGCTCATCAGCTCCAGGCCGGGGGGAGGCATCTCGGCGGTGGCAGCAGCGGCGGCAGCTCCGGGAGAGACAGCGAGCGGCTGCGAGCTCGGGCGCGTGGCTCTGTCTCCGAGAGCAGGGAGGGGCGGGGAGAGCACGCGGGAGGCTTGTCTGCACTCGGCACCCGCCCACCTCCCAGCAGCCACAACTTCTGCCCCCAGATGCTGGGAGAAACAGAGAGCCAGGGGGGCTCCCGATCGGGCCCCTGTCCCCGCCCCACCCCTCCCTGGCAAATCCTTAAACACTTTCTAATCAGTTTCCTCAATCTGTCAAGTGGGGGCTGGATGGCAGTGCCTGTCTTCAGGGCGTGCAGCAAAGCCAGGAGCCTGGCAGGACTTCCACAGGTGGCAGAGTCACTGATCTGTGGCCACCGCCCTGAGGGTCAGGGTGTGAGAACCAAGCTATCTGTCCCCACATTCAGCCTGGACACTTGAGCCACAGCCAGACCTACATTGATGTGACTTTGCTGAATCGTGCTCCTCCTACCCCCGCCCCCAAAGATGTCCACATCCCAATCTCCAGAGCCTGTGAATGTTACAGAAAATGGCAAAGGGCCTTTGCAAGGACTGAGTAAATGTCTTAAAATGGAGAGATTATCCTGGATTCTCTGTGAATGCAGTTGAATCAGAAGGGTCCTCCTAAGAGAGAGGCGGTAGAATTAGGGGGAGAAAAGATGTGAAGACCGCAGAGGTCAGAGAGGAGAGAAGATGCTACACTGCTAGCCTTGAAGGTGAAAGGAAGGTGCGCCATAAAACGCAGGTGGCCTCTGGGAGCTGGACAAGACAAGGAGACAAATTCTCCCCTGGAACCAGCCTTGCGGATAGCTCGACTTTAGCCCACCGAAATTCATTTTGGACTTCTGACCTCCAGAACTGTGAGATAGCAGATGTGTGTTGTTTTATGCCACTAAATGTGTGTTCATTTGTTACAGCAACTGTAGGAAACTAGCACAGTGGTCTATTGTCTTTTTTAGTATCACTTTACTTTTCCAGGAGACTCCCAGGCAAATGGTTTCATTGTTCATCACAGGAACTTCCCCAAAGAGCCAGTTCTTTGACAGAAAGCATCAACACCTTGTGACCCATTTGAATCCCTTGCTTCAAAATCCTCACCCTGTTGTGTCCTCCCCTCCCCTTGGCCCCCTTCCCCAGGTTTGGGGTGGGACCTCGGTAGAGACAGGGATCTTATCCCTTCAGTTTTGCCAACACGGCTTGCTCCTGCTTGCAGGGGCACCGTGGGGAAGTGGGGAAGAGGGAAAAACCAGTTTCCGGTGCCCACTCCAAACTTGGACCTGCCCAGAGGGACAGCAGTGTCAGTCTTGTTACCTGAAAACTGGGTTCGCCTCTTGGTGGGTGTTGAGCCAAAAGAAACAGTCAAGCCAAAGATGGGGAGAAGGAAGGATTTATTACTTGCAGCAAGTAAGGCGAACACCGGGGAGCTTTCCCAAAGCAGTGTCTGTTAACAGCAAAAGCGGGGAAGTTTTAAGCTGAGGGTATATATGCATATTCATAGAAGGGCTTGAGCAGAGGAGAATTCAGCGCAGAATTGGGGCAGAGGTCAGCCGCATCCAAGCTTTAGGTGATTGAAGTCAGGAGGGTCAGAAAATGTTATAGTCACGGTCCCCTAGGTTGCAGTAGATCTGGTGGTCGGGCGCCTGAGGGGGGTGTTTAAATTCTGCAAAACATCTCGGGGAAAGTGCTTAAGGCTATTGAAGCATCAGTGAAACAGAACCAGGAGTTTTAACAACTGATAAATTATCTTTGTTATTGTTATTCCTCCTGCCTGATAACAGTTTGTTTTTTTTGTTCCCTTAAGCTCCTTATTACTGAGATCTGTTCAAGGACTAGCATTGTGGCCACAGCTTAGATCACAAAATGGCTTAGGCCAAAACGGCTTCTCTTACGTCAAAAAACTATACCCGGGCACCCCCCTACCTTAACTGCTTACAGCCTGGCTTGGGCCCCAAAGCAGCAGAGACCAAGGAAAGACCTGGCCAGAGGGCAAAGACACTTGCTGTCAACTCTGGAGCCAGACTCAGCTGGCATCAAACCCCAGAGCCAGCCCTCAGTGGCAGCTGTGTGGCTTTGGGCAAAGCAGCTTCCCTCTCTGAACCCACCTCTTCAACTGTCAAATGCAGCCGACAGTCAGTCACTCCCCACAGCAGCTGTAGGAACTAGGAAGAATCATGTCTAATTATCAGGCACCTGGCACATAGTCGGCCCTTCATCTGCAGAAGCCTCTGAGCCTCAGTTTCCTCTTCCTCAAAACGGGAATAATGATGCCTACCTAGCAGGGTTGCCAGGAGGGAGACTCTTGGAAACCCCCCGCCGCTGAGGCTGGGGGCAGTAGATTGGGGGTGGGGGACGTGAGGTGAGGGATGGCTTCTTGTCCATTTATATGTGCCAAGCCTTCCTTTATCTGGACAAAAGATGAGCTTGTAAACCGACACCCATGTCTCTGCAGCGTGGGGCCGCCGGGCTGAGTTGTCCCAGCCCCATGAGATAAATGGTAGGTCACGATCACGGACGAACATAGAAGGCATTGGATGTCCTGAAACATGTTTTATCTCTGACACTAGATTGGGAGGGACTGTGCTGGCTTGCTCCTTGCCGATGTTTTTGTCTGAGAACAGAGGACTCCCGCTTCTCTTGCCCCCAACTCAGGGGAACCACTGCAGGGGGCTGTCTTCCTTGTCAAAAAGCTCAGTTGCGGGGCTGTACCACCCCCAGAATCGTGGACCAGAGACAACCGAGAGGGGACGCTTGTGTTCATCCCTCCTTGGACCAGCGGGCGGTGCTCTGCTCTGTTTGGTCTTCTAAAACAGCAAGATAGAAACCTCACCAGCAGAGGCTGGGGAAACCAGTATGGGCAATGAGCGGATGATTACCTACTGTTACCCACAGCGGAAAATAAGAGGGACTTTGTAGGGAGGCCCTTCTGACCCGTGTGTGTGACTTTGTGATAGGAATCTTTTCTTCATCGTCTGCTGAAATGAACCAGCTAAGCCAGGGCCCGGTAAGGATAACAAACCCTTCTCTGATCTTCCGCCAAGAATTTCCCTAAAGCCTTCCTCAGTCAGTGGAGCTGCCCTTGTTGTTTTTGGTGGAGATGGTGACGGTGGTGTTACTTTTCTCTGAGCTCCCCTAACGTTCTTTGCGTGTAAAATGGGATCGGTGCCCCCACCCCTGCCCCGCCTTGCAGGGGGTGGGGGGACAGGGTCGGGGATGGGAGTGCTCACCGTGGGCCTGGCCCCAAGGCCCCCAGAAAATACACTGGTGCCTGCAAGAGAGGGAATTCTCTGGTGGTCCAGTGGTTAGGACTCCGAGCTTTCACTGCTTAGGGCTCTGGTTCAATCTCTGATTAGGGAACTAAGATCCAGCAAGCCAAGAGGTATGGCCAAATTAAAAAAAAAAATTAAAAAAAAGAAAGCGGGCAAGAGAAGGCCCTGAGACCACCCCGGGAGGAGGCCTCCTGGATGTTGGAAATGTTTTATGTCATGACCCGGGTGATAGTTACACAGGTGGATATATACATAAAAATTCACCGAGCTGTATAATCAAAATGTGTTACTATACTGTATTAAAAAAAAAAATCCACAAAATTTCTCCCGTCCCAATTCTACAATCCTGAGCAGAGAGCAGTCGCCACGTCTGAGCCTTCCTCCAGCTCACCCTCCTCAGCATTTCCTGAGGATCAGAGACCCGGCTCTGCACGCTGCTTAATTGTCTGTGACTTCAGAGGAGGTTTAGAGAGAGGAGGAAGTTGCTCCACCTCGCCACTGGTTCCTGACCTCAGTGAATACTGCTGGGGCCTCTCTCCAGCCAGGGATGAGGAAACACGGTGATAAAAATCACTGTCACTGAAGTGACCTTTTAGGTCAGATTTGTGTTGTAGGCATCACCGCGGCATCAAGCCTCCTCAGAGAAGCAATGTTTGAGAAATGTGGTACGTGGTCTATGGGAGAGGCAAATGGAGATGAGTGAGTGCTTTCTGATGGCTCTGCAGCCCCTCCTGGGTCAGAGGTCCACCAGGTGGGAACCCTGGGCTCCCCTTGGGATGGACAATTCAAGGAAGGACTGTTGTTTTTGTCTGCCACCTCATCTCTCCTTTCTACCTTCCCATGGGAAATCACAACCTTCCTGTCCTTTCCTTGCACCCCGATTGCCTGTAACCCTGGTGGGGCAGCCAGACTACTGCATCTTCTTAGTGTGGGGCAGCCATGTGACACAGACCAGCCAATCACAATGCTCCTGGCATCTGGGCACTGCGATTGGTCCAAGCAGAGCCAATCAGAGACCTTCCCAGGGAGTTTATATTCTGACACTGTTGGAGAAATCCCTCTAGGCTCCAGGACGGGACCCTGGCCTGGTGTTGGCCTGAAGCAGTGTGCAGCCATTCCCTCTCCCCACATAGAGGAAGTTGTATTCTCAAGGAAACAAAGAGGCCCCAGTCTCTGACTCACCCAGGCCCAGGAGTCTAGGCATTTCCTTTTTCGCTTCAACAAAACATCAGTCAAATCACATCCCTCCTCTGCTCCAAACTCTGCAGTGGCTCCCATCTCACTCAGAGCAAAAGCCAAAGTTTGGACCATGGCCCATGGCCCTATCCCATCTGGTCCCCATCTGGTTCTCTCGGAACTCCTCTTTTCCTTCCTCCCCTCATTCATTCAGCCCAGTCACACCGCCCTCCTTGCTGGTCCTCAAACATGCCAGACACTGTCCTTTCTCTGATCCCTCTGCCTGGAATTCTCTTCCCCCAGCCATCCACTGGCTTGACAACTCATCTTCAAGTCTTTACTCAAATCTCAGCTTCCTGATGCGGCCCACCCTGATCACCTTAAATCAGTTCTGCATCCTGTCCCCACCCCCAGCACTCCTGAAGCCGCTTCCCTGCCTTCACTTTCTCTTTTCTTTCCATAGCACATATCACTCAATGACACATCATATAATTTATTTAGTATCCTTACTAATACCTGGCTTTCTGGGCCAGGGGTCTCTTTTGTTTACTGATGAACCACAAGCATTGGTCCCATGCCTGACATACAGACACAACTGTAATTTGTTGAATTGAACTGAATTAAGC